TGCGCGCACACACACAATGGGATTTGTCTCTCCCCCCAAAGATGGGGGGCCTGGCCCCCTCTTGCTAGGGGAAGAAGGAAGGAAGGCAAGGAACAAGGCAGGGGCACCTGGACAGGGTGGAAGGGAGCACGAAACAGCCAGAAGGCGCAGGAAGAGGGAAGGGAAGGGAAGGGAAGGGAAGGGAAGCGGGCGGTGGGTGGAGGCAGAGAAACAGCAGCCTTGCCCTTATAAGGGTATGTTGGAGGGCCTGGACAGATCAGTGGAGAATGTGGGAATGCCAGGGGGCAGCTGGGAAGGCCCGCAGACCTCCTGCTTCTGTCCCCAAGGGTAGCGAGCAGGGTGGCCCCAACATCAAAGCACTCTGCTCTTTGGCCCCTCAAATCGGTCTTACATAGGAGACGGACCCTCTTTCTCACACACATCATCCCTAGATCCCAGACTCTGACTTGGAGGTGTGAGGGGTGCAAGGGGGGGTTGTATAAAAGGGACCATGCAGGAGCTCAATAGATGCGCAGCCCCCCCCCCAAAGCTCTTTCCACAGGAGTCTTCCCCAGCTGGAAAGCTATTCAGGTTCCTTTGGGGGGTTGAACCAGACTCCCCCCCCCCAGTTTGGGGTTCAGGTAACCTGTTGCACAGACATGCCTGCCCAGACATTTTGCTGCACCCAGGGCGATTCCATCTCTGCATCACCAGCCCAGGTCGGCTCCAAGACCACAATGCCCATCAGAGGGGACTCTGCCCACTGCCCTCCCGCACCATCAGGCACTGGGAAGAATGGCAAAGCTGAGCCAGGGCAGGGGCCCCAGGGATTCCTTGCCAGAGGCCCCTCGGAGGGCAGAGCCAAGAGGGAGGGGGAATGTGGCTCCCACCACCCAAAGCCCTCCAGGAAGCCACAGACAGCCCGGGTTCTCCTGAGGTTTGGGCTACAGTTCCCACTGCCTGGCAGAGGCATCTCCGCTCCTCCTCCTGCGCCACATTCACCTGCCCAGGGATTTCTCCGGCTGCTTTGCCCCTGTTTTCTTCGGGGGGTCAGGCACAGGGGCCTTTGGCTTGCCCAGCGTGATCCTGCCAAAGGGAAGCAAACATGCCCACTCCGTTCTGCCAGGGGCTGAGTTTTCAGGGTTGTAGAAGGAGGCATCGGAGCTGGAGCCCCGGGGCAGGGCCGCCTGCTCCCTCCCTGGCCCCCAACTTCAGGGCCAGTGGAAGAAAGACATTCCCTACGCCCCCCCCCATGTAAGCTTCTGGGGAGAGCCAGAAGCCCTGGGAGGGGCACAGGTGGGCTGGGAGTGCAAAGCAGTGGTCCTCTTCCCCCCCCAACCCCGTCCACACCTGAGCTGCGTGGCCTGCTTGTTCTCCTTCAGAGGAGCTGGAGCTGATCTGCAGGAAAGAAGCAGCGCTGGTCTCCAGCCCGCGACCCCTGCCAGTGGCAGAGCAGCCTGGCACAGAAGGGCGTGGAGGCCCCTGGGGGCCAGGCTTCCCAGGAGGGCCCCAGGGGAGGGTGCTGGGACACCTCCCCCCACCCCTTCCTCAGAGCAGCCCCAAACGCCCCAGCAGGGGGCGGGGAAGGGATGCTACTGAGGAGCCAAGGGGCAGGGGCAGAGCAAGGGGCTGCCCCGGGGCAGGGCCAGCACCCAGGATGCGCCGGAAGGCGGGGGGCAGGGCCGGCTGTGGCTCAGGGTCCACACGTGAGCAGCCCAACAACCTGGAGAGCCCCGCTGGGGCAAAGAAGGGTAAGGAATTCTGATGGGGGGAAGCAAGGGGGCAGCAGGCGGCGATGGGGGGCAGCGCCCCATCCCACAACAGGCTCCTCCAGGCACTCTCATCCAGCGGCCGCTGAGACGCTGAGTCACTTCCTGAGAGGCGCTTTCCGGCTTCTTCAACTTGGGACTTTTTAGGAAAAGGGGGGAGGGGCCGGGCCGGAGGCGTTGCCTCTCTTTATGGCGGTGGGGGGGAGGATAAGGAGCCAGGAGAGAAATGAGGAGTCTGGGAGCACCTTTCTGACTAATGAACTTCATTAA